GAGAGAGAGAGAGAGAGAGAGAGAGAGAGAGAGAGAGAGAGAGAGAGAGAGAGAGAGATCTGTATTTTACAAAACTAATCTGGATTAACCAGTCATTGTATTGTGGTCCTGCAGAGATTATTAACCTTTGACCTGTGTTTACTGGGTTTCTAAACCAGTGAGTTAATTTTCTGCCCACTGCCTTTAATGTACTGACTTGCAGCATTTTTCCAGTTCACAGAAAACATTTAACACCCACTAACATCTTGATGAGAAGAGACATTTTACACACCATAAACTCTGTATCTGAGGGTGTTGGTTAACTCAACTTTGACCTGATGTTTTTTATTCCCTAAACACAGGTCACTGTCCCATGATTACTGGATAAAAGTCACTAAAACATGTTTATTTTTTCAGATATATTGTATATAAACTGTATTTGAAGCAGGAAGAATCACCGACCTGTGCGTTGGCGTTGGAGTCATTCAGGGCTCTCTGCAGGGCATGGCTCAGTCCTTTGGAAAGGTTCTGTTTCAGGATCAGGTCCAGGCGGTTTCTGCGCAGCTCAATAGACAGAACTGGGGAGGTTAAAAAAAGTATCTTTTAGAGGAGCACAGTGACAAAGCTAAAAGACGTGGGAACTGTTTTTATAACGTGGTGTTTTGTGCAGTCAGTATGTTACCTGCAGTGGATAGTAGTCAGAGTGACTTCATTTTGAAAAATCAAAGAAAAATCCTCAGAGAATCGAAGCTAACTGATTCTCAAAAGAGTTTTGTTGAATTAAATAGTGAATCTAAACAAATATGACCAATACTGTAAATTTTGCAGCACAACCTTACCTCAGAAACAACCCAGATTGTATTCCTATTAGGCATTTTAATGGTTACAGCGTGGAGGATGGTGTAAGATGAAAAAATAAAAACATTGTCACCTGAAACACTAAAGCAGGGCTATTCAACTAGAAGCTCGCAGGCCACATCCGGCCCACAAGTGACCAAAATTTGGCCCGCCATTTGGTTCATTAATCTCTTAAACCCAAACCCCCAGTTTTCCACTTTAATTACTATAAGTCCTTTTAGTTAAACATAGACATGTGGTATCTACAGAAACATCACAATCTTAGCTAGAAGCTAAAAACCATTTCTATAAACATCCAAGACAGTTAAAACTACAAGCAGTTGAAAATAAAATTGGTTTAAAAAATTGGGCAAGCCAGAGATGTCAAAATAATATTTGTGTTAAACAGGAGGCATGATGTGTTATTTTTGTTTTTGACATTGTTTGTTATCACTTCTTTTATTACATAGGGTGTATGCTTTATTCATGATTAAATGAAGCAAAATAAACTATTTCAAACGTAACAGATCTTTGGGTTATTTACAGAATGACTTTAATTGCTGGATGTTCGGCCCCTCAGCTGTTGGCCTGCAGTAACTGTGGCCCCCGGAGCAGTTTAGCTGAATAGCCCTGCTCTAAATGAGCCATACTCTGAGATGTTAGCTTCACCTTCCTATGATACTTTTTCTCTGATCTTCTAATTTGGGATTAACTTGAAAGATATCTTACGCAGGTAAGATACTAAATGCATTTAGCTACTCAAGACAACGCCACTCTAACATTTTATCCTTTATGTGACAGTTTCAAATTTATCCTGAACTTTCAGAAGCTTTTTGATCTTGTTAAATCAAAGGCTCGTACCCGTTTTGACCCAGAACCTCTCGGTCACGTTGCAGGGCAGGTGAACGACCTCTGCGCTGGTGGTGGAGGGGGTGTGTGTGGTGGTCGTCAGAGGAGGTGTGGTTTGGATTGGGATGAACACGGTGGTGGCAGGTGCTTCTGTGGTGGTGGTGGTTGTTGTGGTTGTGGTGGCAGCAGTAGTAGTAGTAGTTGGGGCAGTGGTGGTGGTAGTTGGAGCTGGAGTAGTGGTAGTGGTGGTGGTTGGGGGAAGAGTCGTTGTGGGGGTGGTAGTGGGCGTGAGCGTATCTGTATAGACGATGGTTGTAGGAAGAGGTGTAGGAGGAGGTGTAGTAGGAGGTGTAGCCGTCGTTGCGTTGAGGCTTGTTGCTTCCTGCGCGGTCGCAGCAGCGGCGGTCGTTGCGTTCGGTGGTGAGGTAACGGCACCCCCCGTGGTTGACGCCTGCGTCTCCACCACGGTAAACCCGGTCGTGGAGGGCGTGGTGGTGGTTATGGTTGTCAGCTTCGGGCCGTCGCTCGTCACGGCGTCCTCGCTAGCATTCCGCGGTGCCGCGGTGGACTCCGGCGGGGTCCGCGTCCCCGCAGCCGTGGGGAACGGCACGGTCGAAGCGGCAGTCGGGGCCGCCGTGGTCGTGCTCTGCGAGGCGTTTCTGGGGCGGACGGGCACGGTGGTGTTCCACTGATGGGTGGAGAACGGGCTGGTGATGTTGGCGGGAAGCGTGAAGTCGTGGTCGCCCATCGTGGACAGCAGCGATTCAGGTACGGTGGGCAGATCCCAGGCTGGGAGGCTACTCACCGATTCTTCTGCAAGCAGACAGAAAATAAAACATTTGAGTTTATTTAGTATTTCTTAAACCACAAAAAAAAATAAATAAACATTTGAGTTTATTTATTATTCCTTAAACAGCAAAAAATAAAACATTTAGTATGTCAGTGTTGGCAGCGGGTGATTCCTTGCAGCTAAAACACTGAACTCTGAAATTTTAAAGGGATCCATGATTATTTGTAAGATTAAACTTTATTTAATAAACATATATTTTAACTGTAAAATAAAGACTGTAAAAATGCTGTTTACTCAGTTTAGCTTGTTAGCTTGTTGCGCTAGCGCCGAGCTAATACATATAAGGCAATATAGTGTCGGCGCTAGCGCAAAGGCTAACAGGCTAAACTGAGGTTCTTCTTCCATGAAGCAGCTCTGTTGTCCTCCATCCATATTTTCAGTTACAGGCTGAGTCATTTCTACCTTCTCCTCTCTGTCAACGCTCTCTGGTTTCATTTAAAAGTTGATCATCAGATATTGTCCAAGATTAACCTTCAGGGTGGATATAGCTCACTCACACCGAGGACCTATCCACGTCATCATTTACCCAGAATGCTTTGCGTTTAAATAAAATGTCTCCGTTCGTGTTAAAATATATTTTAAAAAATTATAAAAACTAAACAGCCTACAGTATTTTTACAGTCTTTATTTTACAGTTAAAATAAATGTGCATCAAATAAAGTCTAATGTTACAACTAATCATGGATCCCTTTAAATAAAACGCACAGTCAGGTCAATAAAACAAACTGTTGTTAGATTATTAATAAACCTGCAGAGTCTCAGTTGTCAATTTCTTTCATCATAAAATAACAAGGAAGAAAGCTGGAAGCAGACAAGATAATAAAAAAAACAGCAGTTTAATTTAATGTTTTGACTCCAGAGGATTTTTAATATCAGAGGTGTGTTTAATCCACCTGCCTTCTGCAATGAAATGCACAAAGGAGACAATCAATCCCTTCAGACTGAGCTCGGCGTTTAATCTTATCCTCCCCGCGCATCGGCGAGGAACTCAAACATCAGCTTTTTGAAAAGATATAAAACACTCAGCAGGAGGATTTCTCTTTAAAGTTACCTTGTTGATGATGAGACTGAGAGATGAGGCGGTGATGGAGGCATGGAGGATGAAGAGGTAAAACAGAGGTGATGATGATGACGATGGCAAAATGATAGAGATGATGAGAAAATGATGATGATGATGATGATGATGGGGTTATGAAGATGATGGTTGTTTGTGATGCCATGACGATAATGGAGCTGTAAACAGTTTGACGACAGCAATGAAATAAATAATTACAACCAGTTTTGTTGTATAAATCAGTAAAACTGGGTCATAAAACCTCCTGAAGTAATTATTAATTCACGCAGAAACTCTCTGGGTTTGAGAAAATCTGGGCTGTGCTGTTTAAAAACATGACCTCTATGACTTTGTCTAAGAAGCAGCTGTTTGCTAAAATCTGAACACTATTAAAGTCTCAATTTAATATTTCATTAAACACTAGGTAGTCTAAAAAAGGCCAAACATTAAAAAATGTGAGTTGCTATTGAGTTTTTTAAAACTCCCATATGCAGCCCATGTGTTTACAGAAAAAAAACTAAAGGGGTTAAAATTTTATTTTTATCTTTTTTTACTTTGTTTTTGAAAGCAATGAGGGTTCAAAATTTTAGTTTTTATAATTAACAGTGTATCAGCACCAATATCAGCATTTTCAGAAGTACTCATACAAAGTGCCCCGATACCCGATACCCGATACTGATATTTCATTCAGTTTACATTTCAAAAGAAAAGTTTGCCAGTTAAGAAACAGATGCAAGTTTAAAGAAAATCTATTATAAAAAAAATATTGTAACAGTATATATCATGCTGTATATTTTTAGGGGTTTAATAATATATCGATACATTGAAATATCACGATATGTCATTTCCCGATACTGTATCGATTCTCAAAAACAGCAGCCAGCATTTGATTTAGCTCCTCCACTCCTGAGGAGCCTGAGAGTATAACGCTCCTTAATGTTAGTTTAAGCTGAGTTTTTTTTACAATTAAATTCTTTCAGAAACAAAAATGGTAATATATCGCCTTGCTTACAGTATGACAATATATCACGATATATCATATCGTGACTCGTGTTTTGCCAATACACACCCCCAGTATATATAATTTGATCCAGTCAGAGGGGGGCTATAAGGAAGTTGTTTTAAAATAAAAAAGTGTTTTTAAATTCATTGTGTAAATTTATGTTCTAACTCAGTAAATACTCAATATTGGCAAGTACCTAAACTGAAGTACACTTGCCCTATCTGTAATAGATGTATTTTTTGGTGATTTGAATTTAAACTTGCATTGAATTTTGACCCAAATTTTGCCTGAGGTTTGTGCAAAGCTGTCATTCATAAGAAGTAAAATTTGTATATTTTCTTGTACGTTTGTATCTCCAGCTACTCACAGCCCGGTGAGACGCATCGATATATCAGTTTTAGTGGAAAAATGAGTTAGTGTAAGGTAACCATTTCCTTTGGCTCACTTCCCTAAATCTTGTTTCGTTTTTTTTTTTGTTTTTTTTTTTACCAAACCAGGAACAAATCAGTGATGTCACATATTCAAAAACAACCAAATTTTGAGAGAAAAGCTTTAAACTTTTAGTTTTATGACGTCTATGACCATGTTGCTGTCAGATAAAACCATTTTAACTACAAAAATCTACTTTACTTTTTTAAATGTGCAGATTTTACCCAATATAACAAGCTAAAATATTTATTCTGATAACATCCCATTAAGGTGGTTAAATTAAATAAAACATTTGAAGGCCAAAATAAATTATTGCTCCACGTTTTGCTTTGATGAAAGTTCTTTTTGGCACTGAATGTTGTGCGATTTATTCCCGAGAATAATGTGTGCTAATAAGCTCACAAACCCACCTGTTTCTGGCACTTTTTTTTCCTCTTGCATATTTGTCTTTTAGACGTGATAATTTAATGATCAAAGTTTTCCAAACTTCTTATAAATAGATTATAGATTTAATGAAGCAAGCATTTCCACCTGTCTGATATCAAAGACGTGCAGATCTGTGAATTATTAGAGCTGATAATTACTGATTAGTTTGTTTTTGTTTGATTTTATAGCCAAAAAAAATCCTTTTTGCTTCTGAATAAAGAAGTGCTACGTACCATAGCTGTTGTTGTCGGAGGAGTTATTGTTTCCAAGAACCACAGATACATTGGCTGCTGCCGCCTGACTGGTTGGCGAGGAGGAAGAGGAAGAGGAGGCCACAGAGGATGCTTTTGTTGTGGAGGAGGATGCAGCCTTGGATGATGAAGACGAGGTTTTGGTCCAAGCAGCTTTGGACAGCAGCCCTAAAGGTTTCCTAACCGTTGGCGCCGGCAGCTCCGCCGTCTCCGCCAGCGCGGTGAGAACCGACGAGAGGGCCTCCTCTTCTCCCTCCCGCCCCAGCAGGGGGGCCGGGTCTTCGGGAACGCTCGGCAGGACCCCGACCTCTGCGGCGACAGACTCGGCCCAAGCGCGGGTTTCTGTCATGACCCCGGCCTCTGCGAAGACTTTCCCACCCGCCCCGGCTTCTGCCTCTGCCCAGACGGATGCTCTCGCCTCGGCGAACACTTTACCCTCGGGCCAAGGTCTGGGACCGACAGCAGGGGCGTCCTCGTCTTTAACCCGAGCTGTGGCTCTGATTCCAGGAGGCGCAGTGAAGTCGGGGGGCACTGTTGGGTCCGGAGGTGAGTCAGCCTGCTGCATTGATGTGTAACGATCTCCCTCGGCTGTGGAGGGAAAGGAAAAGCGGAAACAAGGTTTAACTGGAGATTGAGGACAGCAGAAAGATGGTGGGCAGTTTGACTCTTCGGTCTGACGGGCCAGACCACAACATCGTGTGTCCCAAACACACACACACAAGTTTGCACAGCTATCTAAGTGGGGACGTTCCATTGACTTCCATTACATTTCTACAGCCCAACCCTGACCACAAACCCTAAGGCTAACCTCACAGGTACCTACCTGACCCTAAAATTAACCTAAACTCAATTCACACCTTGGTCCTAAACCCAACCCCCAACCCACCAATGGCCTTTAAAACAAATGGGGACTCGACTTTTGTCCCCAAATGCACCAGTTGTTCCCAAAGGTAGGATTTTTGTCTTAAAATTGCCCCCAAATGTCACCAGAAACTCTCTCTCTCTCTCTCTCTCTCT